ATTAAGAAGTACGTCCCATTAAGTTTACCTGTTTTCAAAATATACTTCCATTCTAGAACACAGGGCGGGAGCAGGGGGGCTGATGAACAATTATGTTAAGCCTTGTCCACAGGATTCCTATGTGTGGCATTCCTAACTTATGGACCTAACCCCATTTATTTTAACACTGATAACCTCTAGTCATCAGTATGGAAGAAAACACCCAAAAGGTTTTAGATATAAGAGTGAAGGAATACATACAGATGAAGTCTGACTGGTATGCATGGAGACTCTACACAAATGGGATTAATTCCCAAGTCTACTACTTACTGACCTTGGGCAAAATGTAATATGTAATTTTTGGTTTCTTCACCTATAAAAGGAGCCAACACTAAAAGGAGGGAGAAAGCATTAAATAGCAGCATATATCAGGCTTACGCATAGTAGGAGAATCAATAACTGAATGAGAGAGGCTTGATAATCAATCTACTACATTCCATACTTTCATTTCTTCACCTTCAGAAAGGACTGAACACCACCCCACTGACAAAAATTAAAATAAGCCTCTGATGCCAGATCCACAACTGACTGCCAGGCTCCTTGAGAAGACTTTTAGATAGCACCTCTTAAGGGCAGGGCTGGCCACCTTTGTACTCCTGGGCCTGCCAGTAGGAGGCACTTAACAATCTGTACATTGCCTGCAATGGTAATTTGAGTGATTTTGATTGTATTGCAGACATAAAATGTTCTATATCATTTCTCTCATCCATGAACTTGCCCTTTCTACCCTGTTAAGAGTTATAGACTTATTTCTTAAACTCCATTAGCTTCTCTATAATACAATCCATATAATAACCCTAATGCTTTAGCAGGGCTTGGCAGAATGATTTGTACATAGCAGCACTTCTCCAAGATGTGTGAAGTAAATGCTTTTCATGGATCATACCTACATAAATTCTCACATTTAAATCAGAAAACCCATATCAAAAGCTTTGTAAGCACAGAGGGAAAAATAGTATGTTTAAGTACCACTCTTAAGAAGGTCCCTGAATGTGGTCATGAAGAAAACTAAGCTTCTAAGAAACCTAGGCACCTATTTGATGAGACCGAAATTAAAAGGTACAAAGTGAAGCCTCCCATGTGCTCTACCAAAACCACTGAAATACATCTTTGCAGACATTTAGGACATTTACTTTATGCCTTAAATGTTGAAAGAGTTTGCTAACTCTGTTTATTTACTAGTCAAATCTTGAACACAAATCACTTCATCTCTTTGGGTCTCAGTTTTCATGTTGGGAAAATGGAGATAACTGTCCCTTTTCCTTCACAGAGCTCCTATGAGGATTAAGTGTAATCATGCACACCAGATGCCTACCACAGATCTGGTAGAGAGCAGCTGCTCAATAAATGGGCAGAACACCACCACAAAAATAAAATACTGGCCCAAGATAAAATAACCAAGCAGACCTTTTGACCATCTCCCTTCTATAAAAGACACTGAGCATTGGCCACTCTAAGCCTTTAAAATGTGGATTCCGCCTACAATGTCCCTCATAGCAGTCCCAGATGCCCGACTGTTCCCTTCTTGGGTCACTTACTCATAACTTTCAAACAATCACAAGTAAAATGGCACACATATTGTGCTCTGGATGCTGAATAAGCAGAACATTGGCTTTGGCTTCAAAAACGCTCACACCCCAGGATGAAAACTTGGCAAAATACTAGTCAACCCATTTCTGCCTCCCAAAAGCAGCCTCTCATATGTGCCAGCCAAGATGTGGCTTCCACAGCCATGTATGATTCTTTATCATCAAAGCAGAAGCCCAAAAGCAAACTCTTGGTCTCCTCTTAGGATACATTTCTAATTCACTTCCTAGAGTGCTCATCACAAGAAATTTTAAATAAAAGCCCTAATATCTGCACAACACAGCATACTCCTGCCAAGGAGATATGGCAAAAGAGAGAGGATGGGTTAACTTGGGGTTTCAAGCCTGGAGACCTCAGACAGCTTTTGAGTTGAGTTCCATATATGCTAATTAGTAATCCAAAGAATAGAAAAGGTCATAAACAAGTAGAAAGATATTTCATTACTAGAACCAGAAAAAGAGAATTCCAAGCGACCCAAATTAATCCTTATTCTGGAATTTCCACATCACCAAAAAAGTACCCAGAAGTCCTATTCCTAAGAATAACCACAAAATAACACAAGCCACATTCTTAAAGTTTCCAAATATCTCACTTGTGAAGTATATGCCAAGAAGATTTTGTGGTGTGTCTCCAAATATTTCCTTAAATTTATATTTCATTTCACCTTGAACCCCATATTTTTTTTAAAGAGACAGTGAGAGAGGAGAGAGAGAGAGAGAATTTTTAATATTTATTTTTTAGTTCTCGGCAGACACAACATCTTTGTTGGTATGTGGTGCTGAGGATTGAACCCGGGCCGCACGCATGCCAGGCGAGCGCGCTACCGCTTGAGCCACATCCCCAGCCCATTGAACCCCATATTTTTATTTTTAAAGAACTGAATTTGAACAATTTAAGATATCTATAATGTATTTATAATATGCAACCTTCCATACCTAAGCTTGAAAGGGGAAATAAAAATTCAACCATGAAGGTTGGAAAAGCATTTCACATTTGTGCAAAAGATAACTACAGTCCAACCTTATGGAAAATGATTCAAGAGTTAAAAGATGCAGACAGGGGACAATGGTTTCCGAAGCATACTGTACTCGGGATCACAAAAAGAATTACAAAACTATGTGCTGTCCTGAATGAAAACATTTACTGTATCATCAATGAACTCTAACGTGACATTTTTGAATTTCCATCCTGGTTCCAAATCCTTCTCAAGTTCACAAGTGGACCACACTTTCATTATGGTTGGATTTTTCCTACTTACTCTAGCAAGACAGTATTCCTCACAAAAAGAAAATGGAAAAAGAAAAAAGAAAAAAAAAACCTTGTTGTATTTGCATTTAAATGTAAACAAAGATCAAAAACAGCTGCAAGTAATTTGATATTAACTTATCCTAAAGTGTTGCTGCAATATGTAAATACCCTTACCTATCAACACCAAATACCCTTATCACCTGCTGCACAAACAGAATACAGTAACATTATCTGAATATACAGAAAGAAAAAGAAAGTTAAAATAACTGACAGCTCTATTAGCAGGCACTGAAAAACTTATCTGGAAGGAATATAACCCTACAGCCTAATCAATGTCACATCCTTTAAAGGATTAGTACATAAAAAGGATACAAACTGCTCCTGTATCAACATGTTCCAATTTATTACAATTAAGTGAAGGACAGTCTATCCTGAGGTTGAATGCCTGGCAACTCTGTTTCAAATCAAACACTAAGCATCACACTAGTGAAACAGACTGACACTTCACAGAGGAAAAACAAAACAAAAGAAAAACCATTTACCTCTTGCTCTCAAACAAGTTTAGTCTGGTGATACTTCTCCATTCACTTCAAAATTTATTTCAATCACCTAACAATGACTCTGGAGAGAACCCTAGAAGCAGTCCCAAATGGAATGAAACATTCAGACTAATTCACAGCACCTGGCAGGCAGGCATTGTGGAACCTAGCACTAAGAGAAGTCTCTTACTTCCTAAAATCTAGAGGACCTGTGCTTCAGAATACCAGGTCTATATGAAAGTACAAGTATCAAAGCTGATGTATCAAGAGCAGTTTTATTGTTATTTTGGTGGGATTGAACCCAGGAGCATTCTACCACTTATCGGCATCCCAGCCCTTATTTTTAAAAGAGGGTCTAAGTTGCCCACACTGGTCTCCACTTTGAAATTCTCCTAAGCTTCCCAAATACCTGGGATTACAGGCAAATAACAGTTTGCCCACAAAAACTCGAGCTTCCCAATATTAGGTGGCCCTTAACCTTAAAGAGCTATCCCCTCTGAGAAAACCATCTCTCTTCCTAACTTCCACCTAATACTGCCTTTCTAGTTGGAATAGGCTTGGCTTGCTTAAAGAAGTGGTGCTTTATGACACTTAGATACGGTACTGAATTCCAAAGCCAATCCTATTTTTTTTTAATTGAGGTTTCAGAGGCTTCTGTAGCTTCCTCCTTATCCATCCCACCTTATCACTAACTCAGATTTTTGAAGAAATCGATTTGCCCTTGACCCTGTCCCTGGACACCCTCAACGCTTTCCTGGAGGGTCCAGATAACTGGAGCTGTTCTTTCTGCAGCCTTGGATCTCCCCTCTCTGGTCAACACTGCAGGCTGCATCGGCCTCCTATCTCCCTTTACAATCTAAGAGTCCCCTGCAGACCTGGCTCAGCAGCCCTGAGCCCTACCAAAGCCAAAGCTGATAGAGGAGCCTGCTGGAGAGTTGTTTGCACAGATCTTCTTCCACCTGGGCTTTCGGGGAAGTCAGGCGCCAGGCATTAGCTGGGAGGAGTCTTGGGATGGAGACGGTCCCAGCCTGACTTCTTATTCTTTTCCGATTTTTCCATCAGCCCTAATCTCTGCAGCTATGCCTGCCTGGCCCGGAGAAGTGCGCTCACTGCCCATCTCTCCGTCCCTTACTGGTGACCTTGGCCTTCCCACTTCAGCCCTTGGTGGCGCGACGCCACCTACTTCGCGGGTTAGCGAAGGGTCACAATGATGTGGAAACGCAGAGCAGACCTGCCTGACTTCCAGGCTGGGTGCAAGATACAGAACGGACTTCCCTCTTCTGCGTCCTCAGAGTGTGGAGAAAGCTCGCTCAGCTCTTCCCCACCTCCGGTCTCCGAGCCTTTAAACGTGTAGGAGCAGGGAAACCGCTGACAAATGGGGAAGGGGTCTGCAGGTTTAAAGTTCCCCATTCACCCAAGAGTGGGCGTGGGGGTGGGTCTTGAGGGGGTGTGGCTCCCCCTGCCCCCGACATCGCGGTCCTCCCCAGTTCGGAAAGCAAGAGCATCCCACTGCGAAGCAGCGGCGGCGCGCGGGGGCAGCGAGCCAGGGTCCCCGCGGCCGGGCCAGGGTCCTGGGCCGCGACCTACCTCCTCCAGCAGCGTGACGGTGTTCCTGCAGTTGTGCAGCCGCGTGGTGAAGCTGGACGTGGTGGGCGAGTTGTAATCCTCGGTGGTCTCGGCGATGAACTCGGACACGGAGATCTGGTCCGGCATCCTGCCGGGGGGGACGAGACACAAGCGGGGGCGGGGGGTGAGTCACGGCGCAGGCTCCCGGGGCCGCGGGCCGCCCGGGGCTCATGAACGCCCCGCGCGCAGCCCTGCGCCCGGCCTGGCGCGCTCCCACCCGCGGCGGCGGGAGGAAGGGCGGGCGAAGGCGGGCAAGGGCGGTGCTCCGCGCCGGGCCCTTCAAAC